TAGGATCATTGGGCATTCCATGCCTGGGGTCACCACAAACGTTATGTCCTCCTCATGTTTGCCCAGGGAGAGGTTTATTGGTAAAGTGGCTACGGTAGCTGGCACCCCCCCTGCTATGGACCCATCTAACTGGCCAAATGAGATTGGTTGTTCCAGTCTCCTTGACGGAATGCCCAGATTCCCCACTAGCGTCAGGCTAATGAGGCAGCGGGTGCAGCCAGAGTCTATTAAGGCTTTCACCCTCACGGCTTCGGCCATGGGGGGAATGAATATAGTCACTGTCTTGAGGATGGGTGCGATGCGACCACTTACCAGGGGTTCGCCCTCCGAGCTGTCGTCTGAGGCATCCACCAGCCCTGCGGTGTAGGCTGGGGTTCTTTCCCCCTGCTGAGCAGAGGTGGGGGATTCCACAGCTTCCATCATTCTCATGGCAGGTTCTTTTGGCTTAGCTGGAAACTTTCCGGAGTTACTGGCCGGTGATCTGTCTGGGTTGTGTTGGGTGGCTCTTGAGCGGCATTCTACAGCTTGGTGCCCTTCTTTCCCGCACTTGAAACACCCCATTTGCTTCTTGGCCGTGGCCAATGGTTTCACTGGTTCGCGTGTCAACTCAGGCGGTGAGCGGCTCCATTGTTTTCCTCGGCGGTGCCTCTTCAATATGTCAATCTCTGCTTCCTCTGCCAAGACGTACCATTCCTCAAGTTAGTGTGGGTCCCCTCGGGGCAGGCAAGCGTCATATAGGTCATAATTTAGTCCATCTTTGAAATGGCTAAGGAGGATGTCTTCTGGCCAGTTCAGTTTTCTGGCAATGGCCCGGAATTCTTGGGTATATTCGGCTACCGGGCGTTTGCCTTGCCTCATCGTTTTTATCCTTTCGCAGGCTTTGCGATCAGCCAGGGGGTCCTCAAATCGTCTTCTCAGAGAGGACATAAAACGGTTGAAGTCGTTGAGCTCTGGGGCATTGGAGTCGTGCAAGTTCACCACCCAATCTGCGGCCGGCCCGTCCAGGGCAGATTGCACAATCCGGATACGGGCTTTGTCGCTGGGGATGTCCTGCCCGTATTCCTCCATGTAGCTGAGGACTTGGGTTAGGAAAAACCCCAAGCGTGTTGGCTCCCCTTTGAATTTCACCTCCAGCGGCAGACGTCTTTGAATGGATCGGTGCCTTCATTTTTGGTGGTAGTCTCTTCCATTCAGATTGCCATCTGTGGTTCGGCGGGGGGTGGGGACTACTGGGTCAGCAAATGTCCCCGGGGCTGCAGGTTCCCCTTTTCCTTCAGTGTCTCTCCCTTTGCGGCTCCAGGAGCTGGGGCGGGCGTAGGGCTCAGGATTCTCCTCTCCTAGGGAGCTGAGAGTTCTCTTCATTAGGTCGATCGCTTTTTCTAGGATCCAGCCCAAGTACGCTGCCCAGCTCCCTTCCTCTTCACTTGCGTGCAGGGATTTCTCCATCTCCTGCTTCCATTCTGGTTGTTTCCATTCTGTTTCTTTTCCCACTCGCCTTTCTCTCCAACGTCCATTGACCATCGAGGTTTGTGGTCCCATGTCTCCACCACCACTTCTCCCGAGGACTCTGACCTCTCAGATCCCGACATCTGGCAGGGTTTCAGCCGGGGCAGCGGCTCCCTTTCCGGGGAGTTTTCTCCCTTCCTTGCTCCACTGTCTGACATGGTAATTTTTGCAAAGTCCCCCGGCAAGGGTCTTCCTTCCAGGTGGACTAATTTTGCAAGTCCTGTCTAATGTAAGGACCCACCCCACTTTGCATCTTAAGAAGACAGAACTCTTGGAATATTTCTTCAAACAGGCATCTTTATTAAGAGAGAGCTGGTTGCAGGCATTCTAGACAGGACTTGGGGCCAAAGCCTTACGGTTCAAGGTTTTAAGGGATTCCCCAACAGCCCACCCCACCGTCCTTCCAGTGGCAATCCCAGGTGTTACATTTCCACCCCCTTTTTCCTCACTGCCGGCGGAAGGGAGACTTCAGAGGGGATTAGATGAAGCTGATAGCCCCATTGTTATTGATGAGTCCTTTTGGTGGTATCCACATTCAGTCCCTTTGAAGTTGTGCCGAAGGAAGTGAGGGCCATAAATCCCCTTTGTTCACCCCCCTTCCCTTTCATCATATGACAGAATCCAGAGAGGGCAGAAATGGGGTTTTCCATAGTCGATAACTAGAGATGAAATATAATTGGATTCTGACAGATTGGGTGAGACCTGGCTTAAAAACAGTAACTGTGAGAGGGACCTTGGACTCCTAGTGCAGGGCTTTTCAACAGGTGGTACACGTACCACTTGTACATTAATGAGTGGCAGGTGGTATGCAGCCCTGCCTAGCCAAGTATAGTGGTGGAGGGAAAGAGCCAGCGCAGGCAAGGACTTACTATGAGAGAGTCCTCTGGAGCTGCAGAGTGGCTCACTTCTGGCTCACCCTCCCCCATGAGAAAGGAGGAGGAGGAGGAGCCCCCCCAAGACAGGAGGGGCTATAAAAGAAGGCAGTTTGGGTGGGAGAGGGAGAGAGAAAAAAGCAGCAGCCTTGGGAGGAGGTGGAGTCAGCTCCAGCTGCACCAAAGGGAAAGAAGGAGGAGGAGGAGGAGGAGGAGGAGGAGGAAGGTGGGGGGAGAGGAGAGAAGATCAAGCAGGCTGGCCATGAGCTTATCTACAACTGCTGTGGCAGCCACCTGTGCTGGCAGCAGCAAACAGGCAAGAAATGCAGTGGGGGAGCAGTTGCTCTCCAAGAGGAATGAAAAAAGGCATCAGTGGCTGGAGGTGAGGCACGAGGGAGGGAGATGGAGAGTGGAAGGATTCTTATGTGCTTTTGTGACTTTGAAGTTCTGGGATTTGTGCAATGTGGGCTTTGTGTTCTTAAGGAGTGTTGGCAATTTCTATCTGGCTGATAGCTGGTGTTAGCTTCTATTGCTCTGCTATTGTTAGCTGTAAGTTTTGCTGCAAGAGATTTTGAAGTATTTTTCTCCTGAATGGATTTTGCCTGTAGTATTCCTTCACTTATGAATGGAGCCATTTGGGGAGGCTGCCTTAGCCGGCAGCCAATACTTATTACATTTTTTTTCTTCCTTAAGTGCTGGCTGCCGGCTCCTTAACTTTCCTTTCTAGCCAGTAGCTAATTCTTAAAGAGGAATGTGCCTTTTTAAGCTAGTTCACTCAGCAATTTGCCTTTTCTGTCTCTGGAGGCTTTTCCTTGTTTGATGAATATATGGAAGAGAGAAATTCTTCCTTCAGAAGGAGGTGGGCATGAGAAAGAGAGAGGGAGGGAGGGAAGTCCCGCCTTAGCACTTGGCCACCAGCAGCCCTGCCATTGATTTTGCTTGTCAAAAGGTTGCAAAAGGGGATCACATGACCCTGGGAAACTGACCATCATAAATATGAATCAGTTGCCAAGCATCCAAATATAAATCATATAATCCTGGGCATGCTGCAATGGTCATAAGTGTGAAGAATGGTCATAAGTCATTTCAGTGCAATTGCAACTTTGAACGGGGTGGATTTTTCTGGTCACGTTTTTGACACCTTGCTAGTTAGTACTCGAATATTGCCATATCCTAAAAGTAGTACAATCGGTGAAAAGGTTGAAAAGCCCTGTCCTAGTGGACGATCACTTGACTATGAGCCAGCAGTGTGCAGCAGCAACCAAAAAGCTAATACAATCCTGGGTTGTATAAACAGAGGCATAGAATCAAGATCACGTGGAGTATTAGTATCGCTTTATAAAACCCTAGTAAGAACACACCTGGAATACTGCAACCAATTTTGGTCACCATATCACAAAAAAGATGTTGAGAGTTTGGAAAAAAATCAGAGAAGAGCAACTAAGATGATCAAAGGCCTGGAGAGTAAAACATACGAAGAACGGTTGCGAGACTTGGGTTTGGCTACTTTAAAGAAAAGAAGAAACAGGGGCAACATGATAGCAGTATTCCAGTATCTGAGGGGCTGTCACAAGGAAGAGGGGGTCACGTTGTTCACCAGAGCACCAGAGGGAAGGATGAGAAACAATGGTTGGAAACTGATCAAAGAGAGAAGCAACCTGGAATTAAGGAGAAACTTCCTGACAGTGAGGACAATCAACCAGTGGAATAGCTTGCCTCCAGAAATCGTGGGCACTCCATCTCTAGAGATTTTTAAGAAGAAACTAGACAATCACCTGTCTGAGATGGTATAGGTTCTCCTGCTTGAGTAGGGGGCTGGACTAGAAGACCTTCAAGGTCCCTTCCAGCTCTATTCTAGTCTAAGGCTGAGATAATGTCCCAGAGCATTTTAAGACTACTGAGCTCATCTGTACCTTCTTCAGACTGTTGCTTTCTTCTACTGACCATGTGTAAGGACCTGCCCCAACTGGCCCTCTCAGGAAAGTAGGACTCTTGATGCCATATGATTAATCAAAAGGACTTTTACTGAGAAACAGTAGTTACAGTAAGGTCAAACAAAATCTAACATTCCCATGCAAAGCACCAAGCTATTCTTCCCACTTTGAAACCCAACCCTGTGACCAGTCCACCAGCAGCCAATACAATGTCACAAGGCTGTTTTGAGAATGTTGAGGTACAGGATAGATAATGGATCATCCTTAGGGCACAACAACCTTGGAGTCAGGCTGGAACCAGTTGGGAGGGAGTCCATTCCATCTCCAAAGACGATCCCCCTCCTTAATTCCCATGTGGTTACAGCAAAAGTGAAAGCATGCAAAGTGCTCCCTCGGAGCATCCTCCTCCCCCCTCCAGCAGAATGGCAGGGCACCCAAAAAGATGTAAGATCTTTTATGCAGCATAGCTCCTACCCCCCTCCCATCCCCCCACATGAGAGGCCATTTGCTAAATTTAAGTTGGAGGTGGAATTTGAGAGAAACACTTTCCCTTGTAAAAATACACCACCCATCACTAGATAGCATAAGTATGATTTTGATCTTACATTCCAGATTTTTGGGATTCGAAGAACAAGTGACAGTTGGAATGCTCTTATAGTCTCTCCTTAAAGTGGCAAATTTTAGATGAATGAACAGGGACGTAGAAGTCAAGTGCAAACTCATCCTGACACTAGAACTCTCTTTCGAGTTGGGAGAATCCCAGTCCTCTGGAGAAGGCCCTCACCTGGCCAAGCTGCCTGCCAAAGGTCCCCCGAAGGACAAGGAGACGGCAATCCCAAGCCTGCCTTTCTTCGCTTGGCTCCCCAGCAACCTGGGAACGGAGGCCTGGACCTCTGCCTGGGCTCCGAGACGCACTCTTTCTTGTAGGTCGCGGCAACTGGCTCCGGGCTCCACCTTTTCGTCGCCCCGCCCGCAGGCTGGGGGCACTGGTAGAGGAGGTGGCAGTCGCGGGCGCCCACGCGCGCACGCCGAGGCCGGAGCAGCCGTCGAACATGACCAGCCTGGCGCCTCTCGTCGCAGCGCGTAGCCAACGAGGGAGAAACGTGAGTAGCTAAGCGCGAGCTCGCGGGGAAGGAGAGCCATCTTGCTCAGCAATCCACGTGGCTCGGCTGCAGCAGCGCAACCTGTGCGCGCCCACTTCCTTGGAAGTGACCCATCCAGGACTCGCTCCCAAGGAAGCGGCGCCCGACGGCATTCGCCTTTCCCTGAGAAAGAAGCCGAGAGCGCCAGCTTCGGCCACACAGCTGGAGTCTCCGGTGACAGGTGTCGCGCCCTCTTCCTCTTGACCCACAGCTCGCCGCCTTCCTCTGCAAGAGCCGGGATTTCTCAAGTACCAGGAAGGAGAAGAGCAAGCTTGGTGTCGGCTCGGATTCCGGGACATCTCTTTCCTGCCCTTTCGGAATGGCGGAGTCGATTCCCGAGAAAACGGGAGGAACCGTGATAGAGCAATTGCTTTGCGGAGCGCACCCCTGGCACGCGCGCAGAGGCGGGGGTGGGGGTGGTGTGCACGCGCTCAGAGGGAATCGGGTTTCTTTCCTGCAGACGAGTTGGGGAGGGGGTTAGAAAGGGTGCAGAGAGAAAGGGGTTAGAAAGGTTAAAGGAGGTTAGGGAGCAGCAAAATTTAAGAGAACTTTAGTACTGCATCTGTTGGTTTCAGAGCTAAAAATTCTGCCCAACCGACAGTATTGGAGATCTCCAGGGAGATGATCTGGGTTATTATTAGGCGGATGGAAAGGAAGAGAATGCAGCCCAGCAGAATACAGGTAGTCCTCAACTTAGTGCATTTAGTGACCATTCAAAGTTACAATGGCACTGAAAAAAGTGACATGACCATTTTTCACACTTAAGACTGTTGCAGCATTCCCATGGTCACATGATCAAAATTCAGATGTTGGCAACTGGTTCATATTTGTGACAATTGCAGTGTCCTGGGGTAACGTGATCAGCTTTTGCAAACTTCTGACAAGCAAAGTCAATGGGGAATCCAGATTCACTTAACAACAAGGTTATAACTTAACAAATGCAATGATTCACTTAACAACTGTGGCAGGAAAAGTTGTAAAATGGGGCAAACTCACAAATGTTTCAATTAGAAACATAAATTTTGGGCTCAATTGTGATTGTAACTTGAGGGCTACCTGTACTGCCTTAAGTATTCTGCCTGCATTTTTTAAGGCACTGGTGGAAACCTATGGCTCATATCCCAACCTGAATGTCAGCCCACCCCTGGCCCTTCATGCAAATGAAAATGGTGCACCTCACCTGCCCATCCATTCTAAATCCCAGCAGCCTATTTTACCTTCCAGCTTCACTTTCTGCAGCCCTGGCTCCCCTCCCTCTCAGCTCCCAACTCATTATTGGAGAGGGAAGAGAACGGACCTGTCTAGGCCTAATAATTCTTAAGTGGAGGGGATATACACGCATTGCCAGCCCTAAAAGTGGCCAGTCTCTGTACTACAAGACCTATTACTTTTGCTCATATCTCCCAAGAATTCACCAGGGAGCCTTGCAAAATCAACCCCAGATCCTTCCTGCATAAACTTCATTGGGGACCTAAATGGCACTCCAATTTCTCTTCATTCTCTTCATTTTTAGTTTTATGTAACAATGAATCTGTATCATCAAAGATGAAATCACACAGGTGTTCTGTCCTTTTTCTCAATAGAAAGTAAACTTGTTCCTGCTCAGTTTTTTGGGGCAGTAGTTGTTGAGGAAGTGAGGCCTGATAAATCCCAGGTTCAGAAAGCATGCATTAATGCAGAGACAAACAGCATTGTTCCATGGGAGAGCTATGCTTTATCTTTTCTATTTTCTTCCAACTATGGAAAAAAACTTCTTTCTTTGGGGAGGAGTGTCAGGGTCTCCAGGCTTAGCAAGGACATGTGTAATAATGCAGTGATGTCACTGGAGGAGCAGAAAGAACTATAGATAGTTCTTGACTTACAACCATTTGTTTTAGTGACTGTTCAAACCTACAGCGACACTGAAAAAGTGACTTATGACTGGTTTTCACACTTAACAATTGTTGCAGCATCCTCATAGTCACGTGAACAAAATTCAGGCACTTGGGAACTGGGTATGTGTTTATGATAGTTGCAGTGTCCTGGGGTTATGTGATCACCATTTGTACCCTTCCCAGCTGGCTTCTGACAAGCAAAGTCAGTGGGGGAAGCCAGATTCACTTAACAACTGTAGTGATTCAATTAATAACTGTGGCAAAAAAGGAAAATAAATAAAATAAAATAAAATACCACTTAACTGTCTTGTTTAGCAATGGAAATGTTGGGCTCCATTGTGGTTGTAAGTCAAGGACTATATGTAGTTAGTTTTGACTAGAAAGTATTTCCCAGATTTGGAAGACTAACATTGCTATTTTGTATCCTTTGATGGCAAAAGCCCTCATGTAGAAAAAAAAAACCTGGGCCCCAGCTTCTTTGAAGTTTGAAGTGACTACAAGAATCTAGTGGATAGGTAAATCCTGTCCCTGATGTGGAAAGGTTTGGGTTCTATTCTTTTTTTATCTGCCTGAGTTTGTAGGCGTCCCTGGCTTTGTCCAAAGTTTTCCTTACTATCGGCCAGGTTTTTTGTAATTAATACATTCATTCCTTAAGAGAAGGGATTCCAGGTTCATTAGTAGGCAGTTCTGGCATTGGTTTAAACACCTGCCCTGTAGCTACTTGAAAGGGGGTGTATCCAGTACTAGAATGGGTAGTATTGTTGTATGCC